AAAAACGGAACGCGAACTCTATTGCCCTGAGCTTCTACTGCGTACTGAAGTTCTCCAAGCAACCTCGATCGAAGCGGTCCCAAGGGAAGCAAACTCGACACGAGCATCGATCGAGCGTCTATAGCCACCTAAAAGTCCCACCAACAAAACGAAAGAGGGCTTTCCTGCTGGCTTCTGTTGTAATGTTTGATTCGTTAGTTTGTAATAAGCTTCTTATTAATAGGCAAACAAACACTCTCTGTTTTCGGAGAAATCAAAATATTCACCCTTACAAACTCCCGTGAGATGCAGGCCAGATTTCCCAGCGAGTTAACTCGCTTGGAGTTTACCCGCAACTCACACGGAGTTGAACTCCCGTGGAGTTTAATTGATTGGCGAGATTTTAAATTTACACGGAGTTGAACTCGCGGAAGTTTAAAAAACGTATAAACTTCACGGGAGTTTAACTCCCGTTGTAGTTTCGTAAGTTTTTTTTATGAGAAAAACGACCTGGTTTCAGCGATCAGTGCTGAAAGCAGGTCGTTTCTCTAATAAAACCCAAACGGGTCTTTTTTTGCAATTAAAAGAGGAAATAGGTTGGTTTTGAAAATTTGTCCTATTGCAAATTCATTCACTTAGGGGCTGTTCGTTTGGCCATTTTTTTTGGGAAATCAAAGAATAGGAAACCTATTTCCTATAAGGGGCTGTTTGTTTTACTAAAAAAAGAGGGAAATCAAAGAAATGGAAAACTATTAAAATGAAGAATTGGTTTGGGAGTGTTTGGTTGGCTAAAAAAAGAAGGAAATCAAAAAAATGGAGATGAAATAATGTTAGTTGTCAAATTATTATTGGATGATGTGAGTGATTTTTTAAGAAAACTAGTTTTGATGTTGTTTGGTTGGCGAAAAAAATAAGGAAATAAATTATAAGAAACTTATTTCCTGTAGTTTTGTTGTTTTCTTTTGTTTGGTTCATTCTTAAAAATAAGAAATGAAATGAGATGAGATGAGTTGTCATTGTATTATTGGGTGATGTGGTAAGAAAGGAGATGAAATGAGATGAGTTGGAGGATAAAAATAATATTTTATTGGATGTTGTGGGTGAGTTTTAGGGATGGAAATGGAGGAAATAGTATTTTTTGAGATTTTCATGTTTTCCATTTCCATTTCTTGGTTTTCTTGGTTTTTAGGAAACCAAACAAACAGCCCCTAATATTTGTTTTGAGGTTGTTTGGTTGGTTTAAAAAAGAGAAATTGTAGAATAGGAGATAAGATGAGATGAGTTGTCAACTTATTATTGGATGATGTGAGTGATTTTAAAAAAAATTTGTTTTGAGGTTGTTTGGTTGGTTAAAAAATAAGGAAATGAATTGGAGGTATATTATTGGATGATGTTTTGAGGTTGTTTGTGTTTGGTTCGTTTTTAAAAATAGGAAAATAGATGAGATGAGATGAGTTGGAGGTATATTATTGGATGATGTGACACGTACTTAAGGAAACCAATTTCTTGTTTTTTTTTGAGGAAATGGATGGAAATGAATGTTTAATGAGATGAGATGAGTTGTCACAATATTATTGGATGATGTGTGTGATTTTTAAAAATGGGATAAGATGAGTTGTGATGAGTTGGATGATGTGACACATTTCTTGTGTTTGGTTTATTTTTAAATGTAAGAAAGGAGATGAAATGAGATGAGTTGGAAGATAAAAATAATATTTTATTAGATGTTGTGGGTGAGTTTTAGGGATGGAAATGGGTAAAAATATTATTTTATTGATTTCCTTGTACCGATTTCCTTTTCTTGATTTTTAGGAAACCAACCAAACGGGCCCTTACCGTAATCCGTAAAAAATAAGAAATAGAAATGAAAACCAAGAAAACTCAAAAAGTACAATTTCATTCATTTTCATCCCTAAAACACATCCACAATATCTAATAAAATATTATTTTTATCTAACAACTTATCCACCATATCTAATAAAATATTATTTTCATCCAACAACTCATCCACCACATCTAATAAAATATTATTTTCATCCACAACATCACTCAACTCATCTCATCTCATCATTTCAAATCACTCACATCATCCAATAAGATTGTGACGACTCATCTCATCTCATTAACATTTCATTTCCACCAATTTCTTTCCAAAAAGCTAGGAAAACAATTTTCTTAAGTGTGGATCACATCATCCAATAATATAATGACAATTCATCTCATCTCATCTATTTTCTTATTTTAAGAATGAACCAAACAAAAAAACAACCTATTACAAGAAATAGGTTTCTTATAATTCATTTTCTTATTTTTTTTCGCCAACCAAACAACATCAAAACAAGTTTTCTTAAAAAATCACTCACATCATCCTATAATAAGATGACAACTCATCTCATCTCATCTCCATTTCTTTGATTTCCTTCTTTTTTTAGCAAATCAAACACTCACAAAACAATTCTTCTGAGAAATAGTTTTCCATTTCTTTGATTTCCCACTTTTTTTAGGCAAACAAACAGACCCTAAAAGAAAAGGGTCATTTGCATTTTAGTGCCCTAAAATCTGCACCTTGCTTACTTTGGTATTTTCAAAATTTACATTTTTTTACTTTGATACATGAAAGTTTAACTCGGTTTTCATTTTGGGGTAATATTATTGTGTGAAAAACAAAGGTTTGAGCATCAAAGTTAAAAAAAAGTATAAACATCTGGTGTTAACGTTTTAGGAAGAAGAGTTTGGGTCGTCAAAAGTTAAAAAACTATAAACTTTAGGGTAACAAAGGATCAAGAAACAATTTAGGGTGTCGATGTTAAAAAGATGTAAAGTTTACTTTACCAAAATGCAAATGAACCAATTGGTCGGAGAGGTTTCGTTGTGACTGAATTGGATATTTTTCTCTCGTAAACATTTTACTTATTTGTCTTTTACGGGTAGAGAGCTATATTGACAATATTTGAAAGCTCATTGAGGGTTATGGGAGATACCTAATTCAAGAGGTTTTGTTGGGAAAAATAGTACAGGGGTTTTGGTGGGAAACCCCGAATGTCAAGGTTTTTGTGGAGTTTACTCAGAAAATTAATGTGGGAAACTATATCCATTACTACATGCTAAAAGGTGTCGTATAGCGTGTTATATCACGAATTTTCCTCATACACAATGATGTAGTCTAAGTCTCAACCAATGTGTAACAAAGAGGTTTCTTTCTTCATTTATTCACTAGTTTGCGGTCCGTGCAAAGCACAGTGTTTTTTTTTTTTTGGCTACAGTAATCTCATTTTTTAATATGCATGATTTGGATTTTTGGAAGTGCTACAGTATCCCTCTCTGCTACAGTACCTTTTAGATGTTACAGTATACCCGTGTACTACAGCAATATTTTTAATTAATTATTAGCTACAGTAATAATGCTACAGTAAATGCTACTGTAGCATTTGCTGTAGCATGAACAGTGAATCTGTGATCCTCCTATTTGTATAAAGGAATAGATTTTATTAAGATTGAGTCACATCATTCTCATGTGAGGAAATCTCCTCATGTATAATATAAATATCCATTACGAAAATGCAAGAGTGATTAGGTATAAGCTATATTTATTGTAGGGAAGACAAGATGTGCCTATGCCTATTTACACACCTGGCTCGTCGATTATTTGGCCCGTTCAAAGCCTACCGGCCCTACACATCTAATACTATTATAAAAGTGTGTTGGTATGTTAAAACATTTCTTCCGAAAATACCCTCTAAAATGTATATATGCATACATAAAACACATGCATGCATATACATAACACATACATACATGATACATCATAAATCATTCTCCTTCAAATCCCTTTCATAACCCTCAATTAAATAAAACTAAATGTAATAAATACACCCTCATACATGCATACATGAAATCATATACATAATACTTCATGCTTAATTACATAGCGTACATGAAGAGATAGCCTTTTAATTATACCATTATATCTATTTAATGACATCCAACTAAAACCTCAAAGCGTTCCCATCACATAACCTCCTTTACTATTATTATAATACAGCACTAGCACCGGCTCAATTTTTTAGTCCATTAAGAAGGAAAGTCATAGTATTCATTAGAATTTTCATTCACAGTGAATACCATAACCGTTGTTAGACACAAGAGTTACATTTCCATTATTGCATGTTAAATTAAATTAAATTAACTTATGGTTTTATAACTCCATCAAACCCACTTAAATGACATTAATCCAATCAAAACTTTTGAAATTCTCCTCTTTGGAGATTCTCAAATCATGGTAATTCTTGAGTTATTGGATTTATTTTGTATTCTTTTGAAAAATAGTGATTGAAATATTTATTTCTAATCCCGAAGCAAGTGTTATCATTGAGGAGCAATTAGAATCGGTTGCTTTTCAAGCTTCCTCTAGATAACCTGAGAGGAGTTTTAGTTTTTCACTTAAGAGAAATTTTATCTATTTTGGAGGATCGAACTTCAATTTGTAGAAGTTCTATAATGCACGTGCAATTTATAAAAGTTTGTTAATGTAATTTCGAGCTTATTAGGCATTGAGTAAAATTATTTTTTAATGTCAAATGAAGTAAATATTAATTTATTCTTTAATTTTCCGAGCTCAAATAACTAAATAATTTTATTTTGACATTTACGTTTGTACCATATTCTTTAATTCTTAACACCATATGTTAATTTTGACCAATTGACTTTCCATCAATTATTCCAAGTATCTGGAGTTTTAAAATTAAAGGTAAACTAGTATTCATCCCGTGCTAAGCACGGCATCCTTACAAATTATTTTTGTGCGTAATTTTTTCTTATCTTTTTTTTTTGGCCCAAGGAGACACGTAGAGATGAGGTCAGGTTGTGTGTACGGACTCCATCGAATACTCGAATGTTATTGGTTGGTCGCGAGTTCGGGTGCGGGTTATCGGGTTTGCTTCTGAAAATGCGCCCGCTCTTGGGGGGATTAATTACAAATACACTCCTAAAACTATTTTATTAGCATTTACACTGTTCGAACAATCACCTCAAAACAAATTCTTTAAAGACCACAGTATAAACATACAAGCCTTTTTAAGTTTATTCTCATACAAAATGCCACATCCAACAACAAACAGGTACAAGATTGAATTAAGGGGGAAAAAAAAATACATGATGATAAAATGATAAACAGAGATGATGATAATCTTCTCATTCTTTCCCATTGATAAGGGAGAGCAAGGCATCCCTATAGTTTCCATGTGTGTTGGTAGCCACAACATCTTCAAGTTTAGCTCCGTAAAGCTGATGATGGACTTCTTTGATTTCTGTCATATCGGTCTCTGACCGAGAAACCAGTACTCGATTCAGGGCTTCCTTTTCGATCTTATGCGCTCCTTCTTTGAAAGCTTGGTTTATTATCTGAAACACGAAAGGATGAGTTTAACATATAGCGTAATATTTAATAAATGGCGAGATTATAATTTATGGATAACCAAGGTAGAGGTTGGCCTATCCGAAATTGTTAATTTGAAAGCAATCGAGAAAAATGTGATAACGGTTAACCAGGTGGATGAGATGGCACTTACTAAACAAAACTGAATGGAAAAATAGGATTCATGTAGCTGAGACCAACAATTAAATTTGCACAAAACACCCTAAACTTTACGAATCATAGAAACCCCCTGAACTTTCAAAACTATACTAAAACCCCTTTGTGCTACTGGAAATTCCCATAAATCATGTTTAACAGGTATCGACCCTTTGGTGTTTACCTTGCAGAAATATGTAGGAGGTGAGTTCAGACACTGAACCGTCTCTAGCAAGCATGCATCATCAGCAAGATCCTGAACATAAATCATATACAAATCATACATCTACTTCTGGCAATCCTAGAATCAATATGAGACATCAGACCAAATCATAATTATAGAAAAATTACTATTGTAAGCATCACAATAATTTCAAGGAGAAAAAGACCAAAAATAAGAAATCAAAAGAGACCTGCGCTGCAAGATGTTGGAGGATCTTTATGTAGATCCTTCAGTTCCTTCAAAATCTTCTTTGAAGCCATTGATCACTCATTAATCAATTGGTAATGTATGTTTCTCCCTTTATTTTATTAATTACCCACATTCAAGTTATTAATAACTTTTGTTGTTTATTATGTTCATCATCTAAACACCAAAATCAGAAACTTCAGACGGCATAATGAAATGTAATAGCTTTATGCAATATGACACCAAAACATTACCATAAATCCATGAATCAATGGCAATTAAAAGCTGCAGGCACCCCAAAAAATCCTAAATTTCCAAAATCATTAAAGAAATGAAATAACCACAATTCCAATTTTCCGAATCCAACACAATCACGAACAAAAGTTAACCGCTCCGGCAATCGGACAAAACCCCAAATTCAAAAATAGTCCACCAAAACATAGCAAAATCAACGAAATGACGATTCAAGAACAGGGGAAAGAAGAAGAAAAAGCCAAAACCTTTTATAATCTTGAGCTTGTTGAAAATATCCTGAAGAACCTTGTAGTTCTGGATCATCTTGTACTCGTTCTTCGCATCGAAATTCACCTTGTGCATCGGCACCATCCCCGTATGAACCGCGTCCATGAGCTGGCCGTGGACCGCACCCGACGCAGCCTGAAATCACAATCGATTCCACGAAGAAATTACCAAATCGTTCAGAATCCGAATCATTTCGAGAGAAAATTTTGGTACCTCTTCGACTTTGGAGAGATTGAGATGGAGAGTGGAGTTGATCCAGGCGAGGATCTCGTTCCGGCTGGCGAAGTAGGCTTCATCCATCATTCCGATATTCGTCGCCTAAAATTTTTTCGATGTTCCGGTTAAATGAGGGAGCGGGGACAGTGGGATGAAGAGGGAGAGAGAGAACCGCTCCCAAAACCGCTCATTCGACGTTACCGATCCAAAACCACTCTCAGGCGAAGACGAATCCATGTCCCTAATAAATCTCTCCTGCTCTCCATCATCATCATCATCATCATCATCATCATCATCCTCTTCACGCGCTGATCCCCTCCAATCATCGCTACCAAACTGATCACCTCCAAGCCCTAGCTCCCCGCTTCCAAAAATTCCATCCTTCAGATTTCGATTTAGGCGAAAGAGGAAATTGATGAGCAACGTGATAAAAGACGGTCGTGGGAAATTGAGTGGGGGAAGTTGAGGCAACTGCAAAACGATTGAGCGGGGAGTTGGGAGCACAAAAGACGGTCGTGGGAAATTGAGAGAATACGTGGATATTGAGAAATGTTACTGTTCACCATATGGTTTTCCTTTAGTTATAAAGGAAAGTAGATGAACAATCTGATTGGTCCAGATCAGATTTACTGTTCATAAAAACTTTTTGAGTGTTCTCTTTTAGTTAATAAGAAGTAGATTAGTTGCTAATTTTAAACAAAAAAATTAATTTACAATTTGTAAATAAAATTATATCCAACATATATAACATCAATTTTATTATTTAATTGTTTGATATATCGTTATAATATATAATTTTTTTATTTTTAGTATAATCACAACATATTCCCGATTATTTCATCAAATATAGAAAAGTAATATGACTACACTATATTCCAAAATGTATATTTTAAGTCTCTTCATCATTTTCAAGCCATAGAAACATTCAAACAGTAAAAGAAGTATGTATACATGCAATTTTCAAAAAGTAAAACAACTATATATATGAAAATGAGTACACGTGCAACGCACGTGCACCATACTAGTTTAGTTAAATGAGTCTAAATAAACGGGTATCTATGGAAAAGAGGGTAAACAGGCACTTAATGGGCGGGCATCGCGCCCGCCTTATGGTGTGTTTGGGAGTTTACTAAGGGCTTGTTTGGATTGAGGGGAATGAGGGTGAAGGGAAGTTAGGGGAACCATTCACCTCCATTCACCTTGTTTGGGAACACTTAGGACGTGAAGTTAATTCACCTCCATTCACCTTGGTTCACCCCCTAATAGTATAAAAATTGTTACCCCCCAAATTGGGGTGTAACCAAGGAGAAGGGAATTCCCTTCCCTTCCCTTCCTTTCTCTTCCCTTCACTTCACTCAGTTTCCCTTAACTTCCCTTCACCCCCTATGAATCCAAACAGGCCCTAAGGGAAGGGAAGGAAAGGTAAATAACGGGAAGGGAAGGGAAGGGAAGAGAAGAGAATTGTAATATGTTGTTTGGGAGTTGAGTAAGGTGAATGAAAGTGAAAGGAAGTAAATATATGTAAATTTACATAAATGACTTTATACTAATAACACATCAGCCCTTTCATTTGTTTTGATGGGGGTAAAAATGTCATTACACCCCTTTACCCTCCTCTACCGCCCAAATCAGGGGGGAAAGAAAACCAAGCAATTTTACCCTCCTTTCCTCCTCTCTACCCTCCTTAAAAAAACTCCCGAACAAGATGAAATCCTCATTTCTCTTCCCCTCCCCCTCTCTACCCTCCATCCAAACAGGGCATTAAACCCGCGCAGGTGAAAACAGGTCCTCGTTCTCTCTCTCGTTCTCTCGTCTCTCATTCTCTCTCTCTCTCTCTCATCTTACTGAAACCCTAATACCAAGCTCTGCAAACCCTAATCCCTTTCTTCGTTCTCTCTCTCTCTCCCCCCCCTCACTCTCGCAAGCTCCCAGTCTTTCGTCGACTCTCCCTTTCTCATGCCTCTTCGTCTTGTGGTTTCGTCTCCTCAACAAGCTCGAATCTCTCACTGAGAATCCATGGGTGAGGGAGATTAAGGTAAGATTTTTAATCATGGATTTGATTAGGTCGAATTTGTCAATTCTTTTTAGGGTTTTTTCTATTTTTCGATTTGTCAAAACAATTAGGGACTATTTGATTTAGATCATTGTTCTAATCACCATATTTAGTTTGGGCGGCTGGAATCAGTGAAATGAAGGTGAAATTTTGTGGTTAATTTTGGTTAATTCATCTAACCCAATAAAAATTTTGATTTTGTTGTTAGATTTCATTTTAAAGTGTGGCATTCATTGTATTATCTGTCCAATTTCAATTTTTCTTCTATTTTTTGGTTTGGAAATTTGAGGTAATTGCAGCTTATTGTAATTGATTTATTTTGGTTAATTCATGTAACCAAAGTTGGTTCTATGCCTGACTGTTGCATTTTGGAGAATAGATTTCTCAGAAATGTAACCGAAGTTGGTTCTAAACCTGGAAAGCCCCTGAGCAGACAGAGCAGTGTAATTGAATCAGGTGCTATAGCATATTAACTTTGGAGTAAAATTTAATATCCCTTGTTACTTGATTGCATCTTTGTTGTTGCAAGTAGATGCTTTATCATTGGATCAATTATATATCAATAAAGATTTGTAATTTGGCGTGTGCAGTTATCTAGAATGCAATTAGAGAAACCATTTGATTTGCTTTATGAACTTTCTTTCCTTGCTTCAAGTGGCTTTGCATTGAACGTCTTCATAATAACAGAATGAATTAGTCCCTTGATAAGTGAGCATGAAGTTCCTGAAAGCTAACTGTGTTTATGCGTGCCCTGATATGTGTGTACACATGGATAAACACATTTATGTAGCTCAACGAGCATGCGTATGTTTGTGGGAAAGCATGAATGCGTGTGCGCATTTGGATGTGTATCTTTATGTCCCTGTGTGCATTGGGATGTGCATATGTATGACCATATGATTTATTTTTTCCTTTTTTTATGTAGAGATGCATTTATTCATGGTGTATGTGAGTGCATGGCATGACCATGTTTGTGGGTGGTGCCTGCATTTGCACATTTCAACTAGTGAGCACACGCATATGGCCTAATAACATGCTAGGAATAAATTCATCAGTATTTCAACTAGTGAGCACACGCATATGGCCTAATAACAAGACTAGTACTTCATTAATTCATCAGTATTTCTAGCACATCATCTTAAGCTTATAATTATGGCTCACCTGAAACTTGTTCTAAGCTTTGGAAGTCATAATCGACAGAAAACCAACCAGATGTTGGAACTCCATCAACAGAATAAGTACTTGTTCCATTAGGGAAAACGACTTGGATGCTCGTGCAATTATCTAATAACATGCTAGGAATACAAATACCGATACCATCCTTTGTTAGTTGAACACCACACCAAGTAATTGTATCGGGTGAACCAGATAAATATGTAGCTTGGAAAGCATCTGAACTGAACTCTGGAAATATCCCTGAAAAGCCACCCTTTGCAACAACAGCAGGTCAATCTTCACTGAATCCCTTGGCATCCAATCTCCACCAAAATCCTTGGCAATAGAATCTTTCAACTACCAAAAGAACAAGGATATAAATGGCGACTAGTATTATGGTAAGATTTGTATTTCTACCTATTAGTTTTAACCATAATTGTTACAAATTAGATAACGTGAAAATTGGAGGGAAATTTTCAAGGAGAATCTCCTCTTCATCTTCTTCATCTTTTTCTGTAAAATTCTTTTTATGTTTCTCTTCATATGTGTTCTAATTTTGTATGATATATGAACTGATGTGTCGAATTTGATCAAAGAGATAAATTTACCCTAAGTCCCCTTATTTTTGTAGTTGATCAAGATTTCCCAAGTCTTGGTCGAACTAGAGGACGAAAAGCAAGTGCCAAGGACTCAGTTTTTTGGGCCCTCCTCTCTCTGATCAATTCAAGTCTAGCTTCAGTCCTTTGGTGTTCAGGAACAAGGTAATTTTTTTCTCTTTGTTGGGAAATTTATGGACTAAATTCTGCTTATAATGGAAGTTTCTTTCCGGAGTTAAATTTCGTATGAGTTTGCTTCACTTTTTATTTTGCTTGGTTGAAATTTAAAAGTTTCTTTATTATGTGTTTGCTACCCAAAATTGATGTGTTATTATATTATTATTTTTAGCTGTCATGTCTTTAAATGATCAATTTCGTATGAGTTTGCTTCGCTCTAGTTCGCATTCTTGAGGCTAATTTGGGTCGATTTTTAGCCGCTAGAACTCGAAAAATTTCTAGGGCTTCCTCCTTCGTTCCCGCCCCCAAACACATTCTCCCGCTCAAGTTTTATTTACCTCGAGCTATCATCCTCGATTATTCCCGCCAATCGCTAGCGAGCTTGAAGACCTAGGGCTTCGCTCTAGTTCGTCGGTGTTCTTGCTGCTAATTCGTGATTCCGTCGTTGATCTTCTGAGCTATTGAGGTATAAAAATAAACCCCTAAACCCCCTTTATTATCCAACGTTATTCATTTTATTTTTCAATTGGTTCATTTGATTTTTTAGTTGATTATCAGATTTTGCTTAGCTCTCGATTTTGTTACTGTTGTGGCTTAATTAGCATGTTCAAATTATCAATCATTTGAGCAGTTGACTATAAAGAAAATTATGGTAGTTTCATGGGTTTGGTTTTTACGATCTATTGCGGTCGGATTTCTGTTCTTGTTTAGCAGTTGATTTTACTACTATTATGGCATGAATGAGACTAAAAAAAGTCTATTAATTGTTGGATGAGAAAATATTGGCAAAATATCTTTCATATGCTTGATAATTCTAGCATATATCCTTAGATAGTTATTTTTTATGTTATTATAGTGTTATAAATAATATTCTTTGGTAATAGCTACAACATTCTATATGCAAACATCGCCATCATGAGTTCAACCATTTGTATGATTATGTTCTATTATTGCATAAACGTTTTACACTATATTTTCTTTATAATTAATGTAAATGGATGGTGTAGATGAAGAACAAATAAAGAAGATATGTGCTAATACGTCTATATCTTCCATGGTTACAATAATAGCTTGTTTATTGAGATTGCGTGCTAGGCGCAAATCAATTTGTAATGCTTCAAGAGAGGATAAGATAAGAAATATTTTTTGTAGAAGCGCTCACTTTAAGCGTGTCTTTGAAGGATATAGTGATAGTTGTCGGTCTTACATTAGAATGAGGCCTAATACATTTTTCAAACTTGTGGATATTTTGTGAAATAATGGTTCTTTAAAGGACGCAAGGCACCTTCAAGTTGAAGAACAACTCGCTATGTTCATGAGCATAGTGGGTCATAAAACAAATAATAGAGTAATAAGGATCGAATTCATAAGATCGGGTGAAAACGGTTAGTAGGTAATTCAATAAAGTTCTACATGCTATGAATGGTCTTCGCGGTCGATACATGAAGCAAGCACATAATGAGATTCCACCGGAGATTGCCAACAATCCAAACTATTTTCCTTACTTCAAGGTAGAGAGCAATAAACTGTTATAGTTAGTGAATTGGTTGATTTAATAAATATAAGAAACTAATATTTATCGCAATGTACTATTTTCATAGGATTGCATTGGTATGATAGATGGAACACACATTGGCGCAATGTTACCCTTTAACCTACTTGCACGCTTTAGAGGGCGTAAATGTGTAACGCAAAATGATTTAGCCGCTATAAAAGTTTCACATATGTCCTAGCTGGGTGGGAAGGTGCGGCAAATGACTATAGGATTTTGCAAAACGCGTTGCCTAGACCACAATCTTACGGCTTGAGAGTATATGATGGTAATCTTCCAACTCTTTTAATAGATAGTCAATTAAATAATATGATCGAATTGATCACGAATTTTTTTTATAATGTAGACTAATATTACCTTTGTGATACTGGATACACTACCATGCCTAGCTTCATCTCTCAATACCGTGGTGTACATTATCATTTAAAGGAATACACTGGTAGAACACCCAAAAATAGTAGAGAGTTATTCAATTTAAGACACTCTTCTTTACGGTCTAAAATTGAATCAACCTTTGGTACATTGAAAAATCGATTCAAATTTTTTTCGGCAAAGCCTAATTATCCATTCCATACACAAGTGGACATCGTCTTAGCATGTACTATATTGCATAATTTTATTGCAATTGAAGATCCACAAGATGACATTTTGAATGAGCATGTTGAAAATTGATGAGGAGAATAAGGAGGTGACAAATGAAGATGACACAAACTTAGTTGACTACACAACTAGGACAATAAGAGAGGATCGTGATGCAAGAAATGAAAGGAAGGACTTTAGGGACCAACTTGCTTGGGCAATGTGGGTTGATTATTGCACAAAGCATAAAGATGGTGGTACCACGAAAATTGGCTTGTAGTTTTATTGTTTTCGCATAGTTTATTGTGTAAGCTACTATTTCGTAATTGTGTTTGTATGAACAATGTAATTTATCATTCCTCACTTGCAACTATGTAATTCTTAATTAACTATCTTAGCTTGTGTTATATATTCATGGTTCTTTGTTATTATTGTATATATGTATGTCTAACAAAGGAGGAGGAAAGACCAACTTGCCCTCTTCACCACATGCATCACCAAATGATTTAGGCGGTATTAATATCAACTTTACACCATACCCAAATCAATCGTTCATTCTACCAAATACAACGGCGAATTCTTTCCCACAATTCCTACCATTTGAAGGGAACTATAGCGAAATGAGCCAACATGTGTCATATGCTAACTTGTTCAACAGTTCTCAATGATTGTATATCCCATCTTTGATTTCTCAAGGCATCGGTCCACAACAAATGTCACCAACCACTGGTGAATCTGGTGGACCTCAAATCAATGTTGTTGATGTGAGTCAAAAGGTATCACCCTTCAAACAATAAAAAATTAGCTCATAAGAGGAAAGTGCCCCGCAACAAGAGGAGCTATTACCCTCAATTTGAAGGGGTTTCCAACATGTGGTGGCTCCCCGAGCATGATGCGGTGCTTATACCGTGTCTTGCAGAACTCGCGGATTCCGGAATGAAGGTTGACAAAAACTTCAAAGCTGAAACTTACAAAATAGTAGCTATGAAGATGAACATGAAATTCAAACCCAGTACACCCACCTTCATGTGATTAATCTCATGAAAACTTAGAAAATCAGATTTGAACTTATGAAGGCTTGCACCAACATAAGTGATGCGGGTTGGCATGAGGAAAACTGTATGGTAACCCTAGATGAGGAGACCCTTAAAACATGGGCTAAGGTATTAATTCATATCATAACAATGAATTACATTTAATTGAATGTGAGAATGTTATAATTAATTTCACGCCACATTTTTAACATATTGCAGGACAATAGTAACTCTAAGCTAAGAGGACATATAAACAAGTCTCTCCCTTTCTACAAACATTTACAGAAGTTCATGGGTGATAATCATGTTAGGGGTGAATTTGTTAAGCCAGTTTATGATACGATTGGCGTTAACAATGTCATTCCTCTTGATGATGATGATGGAGGCATTCAACATGAGAGTGATTCCGAGCCTCAATCTGATGTTAACAACACACCATACTCTACTTCTACAAAATCCTAGCATAGGTCTAACACAAGGCCTTTCTCAAGCAAAAAAGGCTCGAAAAGCCAATGATGATGAGTTGATACGTACCTTTGTTGAGTTAATGTCGGAATCAATTCAAAATCAACACATCATACATTAGACTGAGCAATTAGCTATAACTTTGAGGTACCATAGTGACACATATAGTGACGTAATCCTCGACATGGTATTATATCACTTGTATGAGTCTGAGAAAGAGGCAATGAGGTTTTTTATCAAAACAAAGGAGGCGCAGAAGAGGTTTATTGAAAGTCTTGCGGCGGCCCAAGGATGGGATACATCCTTGGCTTGATGGATTCATGTGATCATGTGGGCTTGGTTATTTTGTGCACACGAGACTCTATTTTGCTAAATCACATGATGTTCCTATACTTTGCATTTGTGTTGCTAATTATTAAAATCCCACACAAACTTATATTTTGTTAATTACAAACTTTATATATTGCAAGTCATGTTGCTAATTCCTAAACACGTACACAAACTTATATTTTTGTTACTATGCAGATTTCGAGCTTGTTTAGCTCTATATTGTGGGGCTTTTGGATGATATTCATGCTCGTTGTCGAGCTGCTAGGGCTTTTTTGTTACTGTGCAGATTTCGAGCTTGTTTAGTTCTATATTGTGCGGTTTTTGGATGATATTCGTGCTTGTTGTCGAGCTACTGGGGCTGTTTTTTTGTTATAGTGCTGATTTCGAGCTTGTTTAGCTCTATATTGTGGGTTTTTGGATGATATTCATGCTCGTTGTTGAGCTATTGGTGGTGTTTTGGTTCCGTTTGGAGCTCAGATTGAGCTTTTGGCAATGATGATGGTCAACTAAATAAGATTACAAACTAATTTACAATGTTCATAATAAGATAAGACATTCTTTACTATGTTATTAGAACGCAATCTACGTGAACTTGTACGTTGCAGTTGAGGCAATCAATTTTGATAAAAGACCAATAGTTAAGCCAAATTTCTACATGAAAATATCAAATTACGATATGAAATTGCCAAATTGATACATGATTTATTTAGATCATTGATTTTGATCTAACCAAAGTAAATAAACTTCTAGTCCGCGATGCTGGCTAATCCCCTCTTTACCCATGTTGGGCACATACCCATTGTTACCAATATCGTGCGCGTGAGTTAGTAGATCATTCATATTCCAATTTGTGTAGGGGATATCGTTGCGATAGGGACACTTCCACCACCCATTTTGGTCTCTAACTTTTAAAGTATTGGCCATTAGCATTATTTCTGCTTCTTCCATTATATCCCACATCTCATCACGCTCTCGATCTTCATCTGTGTATGAAAATAATTCTTCATATGTTGGTTTCTGTGGTATTTTCCGAGCACGCTGATTACAAAAAAGAAAAACTAGACTCTGGTCATTATGAAAATATTAATAGAATTTGTAGTTTTTTTAACTAAAATACATACCTTTGGATTTGGTGAAATTGACGAGTCACCACGGTCTCTAACACTCTTACTCGTGTTTTTCAATTGTGGAAATTTAGTGTTCATGGATAGTTGAGGATAGAAGGATTTTATAAGATTTGAGAAAGTGAAACTAGCCATTATAAAGTGATTAATATGGTAGATGACACTTTACTATAAATTTAACATATGTAACCAAACAAAAGAAAAGGAAAACCAGTTATTGCTATAAAGTAATGTGACCATTTTCTTGTTTGAACCAAACAAGCAAAGTAAAAAAAACAAGAAAATTGATACTTTTTGACTTCTCAAAACTTTTCCTATAATTTTTTAAAAAATACAAGAAAATCTATATTTTAGGTATTTTTCTTTTCCTATAATTTATAGAAGTTGAACCAAACACCCCCTAAGAGGATATTTCCGTTAGTTTGGAGGTTTTGTGGGCAAACTTAAGGGAGCTTAGTGAAATAAACAAAGTTCAAAGGGTTCTGCCGGCAACGGGACAAAGTTTTGGGGAATTTTATGAAATTCACCAGAAAGTAAACCTTTCGAACCCCTATCATCTCTGCGAAATAAACCCTAGCCCCATCGCCTCGAATTTTGATTGTAAGTTAGCTTTCAAGTTTTTCAAACGATTAATTTTTCAATTTTCTTTTATATTTAGGAAATTATCGAGTTATACTTCATCAGAGTCTAGGAGATGCTATTATTTTTCTCTCCGTTATTTTTTTATTTGTTTTTTGATGAATTTGTGTTATTTTCAGCAAGAAGAAGACGAAGGAGAAGCAATGAAGGAGTACCAAGTCAACGGAAGCACTCTCTCCCTTTCCCTTTTCACTGATGTCACTAACAGCAAGTTTGATTCTCTTCCCTCTCTCTCTCGCGTATCTCTTGATTTTTTTTTCTCAAAAAGTTATGATTTTGTGTTCAGTTGAGAGAGAAAGGGAGCGTGTAATTTGGCAAAGTTTGAGAACTTTTGTCGCGTTGTTTCATGTAAACCATTTAAAGGACATTTAAATTATCATAATAGCACTTATATCTGCCTCATGCGAATTCCTTTTGCGACGACGGCTTGTAAGATAAGAACATAACAGTTTAGGAGTTAAAATGATGCCAGAGTACTTACTGGGAGGGAAGCTTAATTTAATTCAGTTTCTAAATTTCTAGAGGATTCATTAACATAACGGGATCAATAAATTTTGAGGGGATAAATTGGGGCATTTGCATGTTGTTTAAAGTAGTTGTCGCCATGTGATGGAGGTGACGGATTTGGACTGTGGAAACAGCCTCTTGTTAAGCATGCAGGGCAAGGCTGCATACACTAGACCTGAAGTGGCCTGACCCCTTCTCAGACCCTGCGCGCAGTAGGAGCTTCATGCATCGGGCTGCCCTTTGCCAAAAGGTAGAAAGGGTGTACATTCAACTTATTAATTTTCTCATTATATGAAATAGTGGACTATGACACTATCACCAATAAACTAATGAAAAGCAAAAGCAACAATATTTTGAGAGTAGCACATTATACATGTTAACTCTTGATATCCTATTAAGGTCTACAATGTAACCCAATGGATGAGCTGCATTCTGTGGAAATTAATCCTGAGCCAGGACTTCTTTTTGGTGACAGTGCAGGATCACTTTAATTGTCGTGGGTTCTGTAGAACTACTTAGTCTAAAGTAACTAATACGTTCAGGACAGGACACTGTTGGATGCTACATTTAATCATGCATATTGGTTTTGCACTTAATGTTACACAGGATTATAGGAAGATTGCCAAGCATGGGATTTAGACCTTAAATCACTGCGGCGAACTGGCGTCTCTGACTACTTTTATTTTTGCAGAGTCACATTTATTAGAAGATAATAACAATTGATAAAATCATAATGATTATAACTCAAGCTTGAAAGGATGGAAAAGCACAAACTTCTAAGATGTATTTCCGAGGGCTATAGTCTGAGGCACTGCCATATGTATATTTCGTTTCAAGGCACCCATAGTAGTCAATGAACAAAGGAAAATATTCTTCATTAATAAAATTGTTATTAAAGCACAGGTCTTAAGGATCAAGCTGTCAACAATGTTTCTCGACTTTTAGGCTTTGATTCATTAGGTAGAATATAGGTCAACATTATCCTTGAAACAATCATATATAGATGGTTAGGCTTGAATTTTTATAAGTCCAGGAAGTTCACATTGCTGCATGAGGCCTTTCAAATATGAGGCGTATTATTTTTTATTTTGACGAACTCTTTAACTTTGATACTTTCACATAATTATTCTCTAGAAGAAGAAAAAAAAGAGGCGAAAATAACATATCTAAAGTTTCTAATAACCCAGCACATATGAATGGGTAATTTTCCGTGTATCACTGGATGTTGAAGTTCTCATGCTACATAGTTGAACTCATGATTATCTTGGAGTAACTTCTGACTCTAGGCTCTGTTTGGAAACCAATGAAAAACTGGGCCAGGATTAGTCCTAACCTAGTTTTATGCTGAACTAGGCTAGAATAAAACCAGGTAGTTGGTGGTTCAATAAAGTACCGGCTTAAAAGAGCTTTTTTGGCCTATAGAAAACTAGCTCAACAAAGAACCAATTTTAGCCAGACAAGGAAAGACCTCCAACTGAGCCAAGACTGATTCTGGTGCAGTTTTAAGGTGTTGCGAAACACATCCTAATTGTGCACATTGGTGAACAGGGAATATGCTAGTGTTATGTTCATCTGCGTTTCTGTTCTACATTTCATACTAATAGATCACGAAAAGGTATCGATTCATTTACTTGTGGACTTTGTGTTATAGGTAGGCAACTGTCTCAGACTAAGGCCTGAGGTCAGTAACTACTCACTGATTATAACTGGTTTTTCAGGGAGCTTCTTGACTCAATGCAGATGGGAAAACTAGAACCAGAGGTTGCGCTTTTAAATGCATCACTGGTACAATCCCTTCTATTCTTAGTGTTTAAAGTTCCTCTTTCTCAAAATGGTTACATCTAGGTTTACAGGGTAGATATATTGTAGGCATTCCTCTAAAGATCTTGTGTAGAGTCCCGTTTCCTATTGTCGGCATTTACTTTTTCTCATTATTCTTAGCTAAGGTGCATTGATCTGTTTTTCCCCCTTATTCCTTCTTTACTTCCTTTTATCCTTGTTTATGCGTCCATCTTCCATTTCACTAATAAATGTGTGACTTCTTTTCCAAATTATGTAGATACCAGATATTTTCCCTATTCTTGCTGCAGCACATAAAGCACTAATGGCCAAATCAAGGGAATCATTGACCACACGTACTCTGCACTCAGAGCTTGTTTATAACTTCTCGGGATCTAAACATGTAGATTACTGACTTTCACTTTATTTTCTTATTATTTATATTAACATGCATAATGCTCATATAGAGTTTTTTTTAATTAGATATCAGAATCCTTGAAGAGGTGTGGAATCTCAGCTACAACAACATATATCCTTGCAGCTCGCTTTTGTGCAACTCAAGATGAGGTATTTTCATGAAACTGCAGCATAATTCGAATATGAGTTCAGTTGCACCCTAATACTAAAGTTTAAAACCACAATTCTATATATTCCCAATGTCCCTGGAGTTCCGATGCTCGCAGGAGGTAGCATTAGTAACATTTTCTTACCCTAGCAATGAATTTTATAGGGGATCTTTGAATGTCTGCTTCAATGGTTGCATTAGTAACATTTTCTTACCCTAGCAATGAATTTTATAGGGGGTTTTTAAATGTTTGCTTCAATGGTTCCTCTACCTACTGATTTTTGGGATTGGATGTTGGTTTTTGCCTTTTAGAATAGATTCATCAATGTCCTTCCTTCTTCACATCAATTCATCATTGTGCAATCAGTCCTTTGCCTATTAAAGAGAACACCTGGTGGATACTGTTGGGAAATCAATTTGTTATATTCTAATATTCTGTTATAAACTTTGGTTGGTTTTGTAAACTAGCTGCACGATCAATTTAAGGGTGTTTATTATTTTATTCCAAGAAAGTTTTAGACAATATCTATCAGTCTATCAGATAACCACTTAACCCAAAGTATTAAGCTGATGGATTGTGCGCAGATGATGTATCTAAATTCTAAATTGGTATTATCACTCGGCACACTACCCCATATGAACCTTTGGGCCATATAGAAAGGCGCCAAACGTAAATTTGACCTGCTTGGAAATCTTCAAAAAAATGCAGGTGAACCGACATTTTTTAAATGCTAACGCTAAGATTTGGAGCAGGGACTTCTACCCTGAAACCTGGTGCCCAGAGAAACCTTCCCTTCCCTTCTCTACCAAAACTCGGAAATTTTGATGAAGGTCGCAAGGATCCTATGATTCTATCCACTTGTAGTAGCGATTGATGAAGCCTACAAGACCTTATTGCACTCACATGAGTAGGCCAGAATTTTACTGCATTAACCTAATCCCATCAGGTATCAAACTGACCTGATCATTTGGGATTAGGTTTGGTTTTAGAAATCTAGCCTGATGGAGTTTTTAGGTTAGGTGTGGGTCCACAAGAATCAAGCCTGAACATTCCATTCTAGTGAATCTGAAGTTGTTGCTCATAAGGGTATGGAGAACTTTTATGCAGAGAAGATCCTAACCCAAACAATTCCTAGATTAATACGTGTGCTTTCTATTCTAGCATGATAAGCATAGAAATATAGGTTGTAGTTAGTCTAGACAGTTACTTTTATGACTAATTTGTGGATTCAAGAACACTGTGCATGGATCACTTTCATCTTGCCTAATGTAATACACCTAATCAAACGACCGATGCATCACCAAATGCGACATGTATGAGGGTTAGGGTTTATAAAAAAAAAGTAAAAAGACAGAAAATAACAAAAAAATAAGAAACAACCCCCACCCCCCACCCCCACCAAAAAAAAAACCTACCCAAAAAGAAAACGAAAACACCCCCAAACAAACAAAACAAAACAAAAAGAAGAACTGACTCATAAAAGAATAAAAATATCCATGAAACATGCTTTTAAACTGCTAGCAGTATAGGGCTAATTTTAAACTCTATTCTTTCAGGTCAAATATCTGCATATGCTGTTTTATTTTGGTTTCCATAAAAAGAGTTAAAGAAGATATTGCTATCAAATAAGGCTGAACACAGACTCAACCTGGACCTACCCTGATGCCTTTCTATGCTGTGTGGTATGGATTTATATTAATGGCTGTCAATCAGCTGAGGCTAAACACACACTCAACCCAGACCCTACACTGATGCCTTTCTATGCTGTGTAGTATGAATTTTATATTTATATAGAACAATCTTATGGTATTGAGACTGGAGCTACATATGAAATTGTCAATTGCCTCCTTGCAACAACTTGCATGCTGAAAAAACCTGACTTGCAAAATTTAGAAGTATCCTGTGTTATATGTTGGGGGGCTACTTTGTCGAATGCTTGGCAAACTTCTTTAGTCTGCATCTCTGGATTCCAATGCAGCATCTATATCCATTTGAACAACTTGTATTTACACAATTTATTATTTGATTCCCATCAGGATTACTTGTACAGTGTTAAGATCTCTGCTAAGCATCTTTTTTCGTCATCCAAATGAAGTTGAAGTATTTCACTAATGAAGGTTATGCTTGTAGCAGATGGAACAAATAGGAAAAATAATACACGGGAAGGAGATTGATTTGGGGGAGTTGCAAGCAAGAGCAAATGAAGCTCAGATCCAGAAGGTCTGATTAATATTCTTATCTTTAACTTTCTTGCTTTTGTTTGATTCTTGTAGAAGTATCTCCCCTTGGTCATGCTGATGGTTGTTTTCTTTGCACATTCAGCATTATAAAATAACGAGCCAAGAATTAACCATCTCTTCATTGTCGGACGCAATCACCTGCCGAATTGCTTGCCGAGATGCTCTGTGATAGAGAACTTAATTGTATTTGGTTTTAAATTGCTTTTTAATTTATTTAGAGCATACTTTATTATTGTGGTTGCGACACATGTTTCACTTAAATTGACTGCAAGGATTGCAATGCAGGAAAAACAGTTGCCTTACATGTCTTTGTGTTTTATTTCTTCTTGAAAATTTTTATCCAGCGTTTGTATTCTTGTACTTGTGTGGTCAAAGATGAGTTGGTGTTGAAGTTAAGTAGCGCATATGCATTTGCAAATCGAATATGCTTGATATATGCAGGGAGAATTATAGAAATATCTGCATTTGCAAATCGAATATGCTTGATATTTGCAAATCCTAATGACATTCAGAACATGTACCATGTTATAGATCATGTCGTTGAAGCTATTTCAGAATTTAATTGCAGGTCATATGAAAATTTTTGAGAAGCTCCAAGCTACAAGGGCCAAAGATATCCAAAGCCTCTGGTCGGCTTCTTTCTCCTTGTTGTTAATTTGTTTCATGGTTGGTATTTATTTGTGGGTTATTTGCATTTATACCCCCTATAGTATCATTGTTTTTAACTTACTACACGTGTAGTTTCATTTTGGCAGTAAAGCCCGTCGGGTTGGTTGAAATTTTGGCGGATATTGGCCCTGGGTGAAACTAGTGTCTATCCCAGGGTAAAAGAAGTAAAAATAAAAAATAAAAAATAAAAAAATTCACCCAGGTGGTCTATCTGCCAAGCTAGACTACAAGGGTAGTAAGTCCAAAACAATAAGTTCAGAGCACTAATACTGCAGGGGCCTACATGGTAAGAGCTTTATAGTTGAGTGAAGACGCACAGCAAAGGTGTGAAACATTGGCAGACAGTTCAAAGGATGCCCAACAGGAAAGAAGAATATAGGGGTGATACTTTACGAACACAAGTTTCCCACCTTTTTCCTAGTTATTTGGAGGAAATAAATAAATGAAGGGTTAATTGGGGTCAAAATGCATTTGGTCAGAAGATAGCTGCTGCTCTAAGCTTCTGATGCAGTCGTCGACGAGGATTCTCCTTGCAGAAGCTCAGTATGATACTGGCACCGCTGTGCATTGGATCTGAAACCGTCACTGATCCAGTTGATCACCGCCCAAATTACTGGAACCGGTATAAGCCCAGAATTATATCTTGAGGCAGCCAGCGCTGCCATCTACGCTCTGGAAACATATGTTTGCCCGTCGTAATCAATGATGTAGGTTATCCTCTTTCAGGAAATAATTCGGAGCTTCGTATTGCCCTCCTGTCTCATTAAATTCCCTGTTCCATTAAAAGTATCGGACTTCGCCATGTTCTGATCATCTGATCATTAGAGCTTGAACTTACTGTGTGTCTCTGATCATCAGATCTGATCAAAGCCGTGAGATTTAGATTTGATGCGTGTATTTCTTTCGTTTTAATTAGTTTCGCTGAACTGACTTGGGGGTGTTTCTCTCCAAGTACTTAGCACTTGCTAAGGTCAAGTACAGAATCATATAAATTTGAAACTAACCCTATTTCTAGGTGTAATACGCGAGCGTCAGTTTGGAGGAGTAATAACTCTGGAACTCTTCGACAGCGTATAACCAACAAGTTAATTTGGGTGTGAAACAAGTGAGATGTGACGATGCCTTTACGTAACTAATTACCAATCAGTGTCACCTTTATTGTGTGTTTTCTTATCCTCAAGTGAGGTTAGTATTAGGTGAAGTAGGGGGGGTTTAGAAAGGCTTCATGAACGTAATAAGTCTATGGGCTGAAAAATTAGGTGGAAAGCACCATGAAGACATACATGTGACAACATCGAGTTGGACAGCGAAAGAGGGGGCTGAAAATTAACTCCCCCCACCCCCACCCCACCCCAACAACTCTCCTCGTAGATTATTGCTTAAGGGACTTTCGCTAAGACTGTTGACGTCTACGGCTAAATCTGGAATGAAACAGATATAAATCAGTGAGAAATGGAAGCAACTGTAATGTTGTATTTTAAAACTTTTTTAATTTAGCTGCTATACGTTTGTGAAACGCTGTGCTTAAAGCAATATTTGACTTACTTCGGTGCAAGGATCACAATGCTAAAATGCTTCCAGGAACAACAGTACAATACAATGGTGTGCACCAACCAAGTACTGTCAAGATCTCCTCGATCTATAAGATCTTTCGGTCAAGGCAACGATCTCCTCGATCTATTAAAAACCTTGCGGTTCAGAGCTAAGTTTCTTCGAGTACAATCTAAAGCTTGCACACTTTCAAACTCTGCAGCAGCAGCACAACAACTTGAACGCTTCAGTGTGTTTTTCGTATGTACCAAGAGCTGCCCCAATGGGCACTATTTATATGCCTCTAAAGCCAGCTCAAGGGTCACCCGCAATCAATTTAATTGTTACAAATCATAATAACAATTATGATAATTATGATTGTAACAACCAATGACTTAATTGTTGTAACTGTTGCATACAGTAACGCCTGAACACGAGGGTCGCGTTTCTCGCACCCTCGCGCGAATGCGACTGTCACGCCTTGCGAACGCGAGGGTCGCGTTCCCTCTCATGAACGTCGCGTTCCCTCTCATGAACGCGAGGGTCGCACCCTTGCGCGAACGCGATGGTCGCGTTCCCTCTTGCGAACGCGAGGGTCCCGTTCCCTCTTGCAAATGCGAGGCCGTGCGAAGTGTAAAGTGCGCCTTACAAAGCGCCACTTAGCGCCTCATGCCGATTAGTCTGATCCCCGGCCCATTAGCCCGTGGCCCACTAGTACTTATGAGTGATTGATTTATTTATTTAAATCAAAAATAATTCTCGGCTTGCTTACGACAAGCCTCGAATACAGGACCTTTTGAAACACCAAAACTTTTACTTTCCAATACGCGACTGAGGATTTTTGAAAAAACACCAGTAGTTAATAAATATATAGTTTGAAAACTTATTTTTGGAAAGTGCTTAGATGCGTTTATAAGATAGTTTTTTTAAAGTAGATGAAGCCCAACTTTTTCATATGGGGCTTAAAAGCTAGCTTATATGAGACGCTACCAAACTAAACCGGTTTAGGTCAAAACCGGCACATGACAACAACAAGCTGTATATGGTTTACAACTTGGTCCTCTACATAATTAAGCTATAGCTCCCTCCTATTCTCCTCGGGCGTACTGGGCCATGCCGTATAACAACTTGCCCTCTATTTTTTTTCTTGGTAACCATAATAATTTGCCATTCTTGTACTGTGAAATGCTCGATCTCACGCATCCCCATGAATTCTGGTGTGGGTAGTACCGCCAAAAGTGGGTGGATACCTAACCGGCTAATACATTCTCCATTACGTAAGCAGTTATAAATGCCTTCGCGGGGACAAGTACGGTTCATACAGAGTATATATATGATGAAAGTTAAATTATTAAGAATGTCAATTAATGAATGAGTACTCCAACCCTGAGGATGCACATAGATATAGATATAGAATTTACAAAAGTATACAAGTTCCTCTAACCTCAGCTACTTCGCCAACTCATATCAATAGGCGGCTGGCTGAGATATTCCGCGTAAATCAGGCTTCGCTAAGGGCCCGTTTGTTTTGATTTTTTTGAAAAGAAAAGTGGTGTGAAAACCGTCAAAACTGACAAAAACTGTCTGTTTTGTCAGGTTTTCTTACAAAAACGCTTCTAAAAAAGACGTTTTTGCAAGAAAGCATGTTTGTTAAAACTAGTGGTCACTGGTTGGGGAACGGTAATTAAGAAAGCAAATCTAACTGCTTGCCGATTATTAATTCCCTACTTTCCTTCTTCCCAACTAACCTCTCGAAGTCTTGAGAGCTAATTTCTGCGTATTCGGTAGCTTTCAAGTTGACTACGACTCCATAATTTGCTTTCTTTTTTCATTTTTCTTTTTATAAGCAGGCAGATGAGGACATTAACGCGCATAGACAATAGTAAGTGGTCCATAATGCTTATAAGTTTATATTCATCCATCGTCTCTTGCGATCGAATTTCAAACTTACACTTTGCTACCGTCGGTAACCAGAAAAGTAGGCACAAAGTTAATAAATAAACTCCTTGCCCAATCCTAATAGTAAGGGTAGGTATTTCATATAACCCCCCAAAAAAACTTTGGGCTGTTAATTTCCCACAAAACTCATTAGACTTTGTTTTCCCCCCACGAACCCTCAAAACTTTAAGTACTTTCAGTTCTACCCTTTTCTTGTCGGAAAATGATAAGTGTACTGCGAGAGTTGTGTTAACTCTTAATACTACTAGACACAAATAAGCAGGGTGTATAGATATTCATAATTCCTCTTTGGAAGTTTACAAGAAAATTGCCCCGTATTTTTTGTGTGTGGGAGTATAAGAGTGGTATTAACTCTCGCGTACACTTATCACTAGGGCTCGTCTTCTCCCTGTTTTTAGAGGGGATTCTATGGTAAAAAAAATAAGAAAAATGTGTTAGGGACCCAAAAACATGGGATCTTACATGGGACATATGATGTGTCGGCTCCATGTCCCATGATGTACTGTTCATGAACATTTCATCATGGCCGGGACATGGAACCGACACATCACTTGTCCCATGTAGGGTCCCATGTTTTTAGGTCTCTGTAGCACCACCCAAAAAATAATAAAACAAAGTTTTGGGAGTTTTTTTAGAATGGAGTTTTTCAGAGGTTAAAGTGCGGAAAATCAAAGCTCAGGCCTCCGGGGGGTAATTTTGCGAAATTCCCGCTAGATAACAATTGCAATATTATTACGGGTGATGTTATACGTTTTTTGAACCGCAGCAATTAATAAGAGCCCATCAAATTAGCTCGCAACCGTACGCACCGCCATCCAATTTATATCCTCCCTCGCTTCCCTCTCTTGTTACAACCGAACCAATCTCCTCTCATTACTGTACGTAACAAACATACGATGGTCGGCGGCAGAGAGTTTGAGAGCATCGAGAAATGCAGCTCCGAAGGGAGGGAGGCCGAGACGATCGCGGCGGACCTCGACGGCACCCTCCTCGTCTCGCCGGAGCTCGCTTGCCCGTATTCATAGCCTCGTCAGCCCATCGACGGCGGGGAGCCTCTTCGGGATCGCCCTCCTCCAACTAATCGGCGCCGCGCTCGTGTACGCATCAGCCGTACGTGCTCTTGTCCGAGTCCCTCGCCATAAAGACGCTCATATTCATCTCCTTCTCGGGGCTGAAGGCCCGGGACATCGAGATGGCGGCGCGCTCCGTGCTGCCCAAGTTCTACGCCGAGGACGTGCACCCCGAGGGGTGGCGCGTCTTCAGCGCGTTCGGGAAGAGGTACGTCGTCACGGCCAACCCGAGGATCATGGTCGAGCCGTTCGTCAAGAACTTCCTCGGGGCCGATAAGGTGCTGGGGACCGAGATCGAGGTGACGAGGTCCGGGAGGGCCACCGGGTTCGTCAGGGAGCCCGGGGTTCTCGTCGGGGAGCTCAAGAGGAAGGCGGTGGAGCGGGAGCTGGGCGGCGAGATGCTGCCTCACGTCGGCGTTGGCGATCGAGAGACCGATCGTGATTTCATGTCGATTTGCAAGGTTCGAAATCGAATATTTATTTACGCGTAATTTTCTTTGCATGCGCAGTGCGCGTACGTTCTTCAGAATTGAAACGTACGTAGAGCTCGTATATATTTCCTCATGATAGATCTTTAGTTTCCTACAAGTAGATCTCTGTGTATATATATGAGAATATTTGATGCATGATCTAAGGTTGACGGTTGAATCCTTAAGTTAATTAATAACAGAGGACGAGATAGATACTAGGAGGAATCATGCATATCAGAGCAATACTTGTGATCTCGGTGATCAAGTAGATATATCGATAGAAGAGGCCGGTTTAACCTACTGTTTCTCTGGTGCATGTTAGTCATTGGAGTCGGATCAAAGGATCCTCGGCTCTCATGATAATTGATATCATTGCTTTTTAATTGATATCATTGCTTGATTTTAGGTTTTTATCCGTAAAGAGCTAGCATTTAAAACTTATCAACCATATCGGTTATAAAACTATAACTCTCAGCCCTCGTAATTTTAGAGTTTCGATTAAGGTACTGTTTGGCAACAAAAAAAGTGTCTTATCTAAGAGCTTGTGTCTTATTGACTTGGTCAATAAGCTAGTAGAGCTGTTTGGTAACCAAAAATAGGAGGAGATTATTTTGGAGATTGTGTCTTTTGCAAGTAGCTTTTGGAAAGCTATCTCAAGTAGCGTTTGTCTTTGGGAAGGAGCTGTCAATTTTTTTCTTCTGTTTTTGCCCCTAATAATTCTAATTTTATATCAATAATATTGCATGACCTTTTTAGTTATTTAACAAATTTAAGCTAGTTGTATAGCTTCTTTTGCCAAACAGCTCTAGTCAATCAGCTAGCTACACAGCTATCAGCTTTCAGCTATAATTTCATAGCTTTCAGCTAGCTTGACAGCTTTCAGCTATAATCTCTCAGCTTTCAGCTAGTTTTGCCAAACAGAGCCTAAGTAAAAAAAAAGTTTCACATTTTAAGCAGTTGTGGACCTCACTAAACCGTTTCAGTACTCTAAAAGCCTGCAAAGCTGACATTGTCCCCAGCTAAATCCTGTAACATTTTGGAATAAGGCAGACAGCGGTTATAGTTCATGAACTTCCCACCTCTGCTTCTTTCTCTTTCTATTTATTGATCGCATGCATGATTTATAATTATCGCCTTCCACTGTTTAGAGAATTTATTTCGAGTAGGTAGGTGGCCTCTACTGCTGATGACGGTGATGTTCACGTAAAATTCCCAGCCTAGCTAGCAACCATACACGTATGCATCTCATGACTCAGTCTCAGTCAATCACATGAACTCCTTTTGGGTTATTTGGGTATTAGCCCCTTTGAATCTTTCATATTCTGGACGAGTCCCTCGAAACATTGCAATTGGCATAAGGTCTCTTGAACCGTTATGATGTTTAAAATTAGCCCCTCCGTCACAAAGTCCATCCGATATGATAATCATGAGTAGGTTAATGGTTAGCCATAAATAGGTAATTACCAGGCTACCCCTGCTTGACTATGGTCAGGTTTGTGTTCGTATTAAAAAGACTTTTATGATTGTTAGGGGGGGGGGGACCAAATAGCAATTTCAATTATTTGGGGGACTTCGGAATGTGAAAGGTTTTGAGGTACAATTGCCCGAATAACCCCAATCCTTTTGTTTCCCTTTTACTTCTACAGCCTTCCATCTTCATCGATTTCGTGTGGAATTGTTTGTTCCTGAATTAGCATCTGAACATAAATAGTACTGTTTTCATTCCTATGTGTAAATGAGTTAGGAGCAAGTTTTTCTAGTTCTTGATGATATGTCAATCATAGAGACAACAGAGTGGACCATGTCCCTCCTAATTTGCAAATATGAACTTCATTGTGCAGTATTTTGACTATTTATTTTTTTTATTTTTTTATTTATTTTTTTGAAGTTAAAATTCCACCAAATGTCATTAATTACGAGCAAGTAATGAATCAAGAGGTACTAATTACTAAGGGCCCCAGGTTGTTTCAACAACTACTTTTGTTATCTGCATTTAATAGATACAACTGTTGCACATGATTGAATAGCTTTAGAGTCATAAATGGACTTATTTCTACAATTAGCACTACGCAAGACACTTGACTAAAAGTAATGTGCGCACGCATAGCATATGTATGCATAGTAAATGCGTGCGCATCACAATTTCAACATTTAATTTTTAAAATCAATTCACTTTATGTTTACTTTTATATTTAGGGGGTGTTTGGTTCAATAGTGGACAAGAATAGGAGTAGGAATCTGATTTTTTTTTTATGGATTCCTATCAAATCCCTAAAAAATTTTAAGACAACTTTATGGATACATGGAAACCTTTTTTTCATTTCTATGTTTGTTTCATAACATAAAAAAATAGAATCCAACTTTATAGAAACCCTCCAATTCATATTCTTTAGTTTGGGTTGGAATGAGAATATGATTTGGTCTTATAATAATATAAGGTTTGTGAAGAAACAGAATCCTAAAAAAAAGAGGGAGAATAGTACGGGTGTGTCAGTTTTTTGCCCCCAAATCCTTCCAAATCATTAGGATTTGGGTTTTTATAAAATCACCATACTTTTTCAACTTTATAGATTTCGAAATCTATAAATTTGTTGTGAACTAAACTCAATAATAGGATTCATAAAGAATCCTTTACTTGCAATTTTGCCCCTGTCAGAGTCAATTCCTATTCATATTCCATAAAAAGGCTGAAACAAACACTCCCTGCACCATTAGCTGAAAGTTGGTCGAGACTTTAAAAATCCTTGTTTTAAATACACAGCTTTCACAAAAGGAAAACGCCTCAGAGACCCCAAATGGGGGGACCCTGTAGGGGACAAGTAAGGTGACAAGCACTCACTGGGTGCTGCACAGTGAGGACTTGCCACCTTACCTGTTCCCTACAGGGTCCCCTCATTTGGGTCCCCCTAACAACACTCTTCACAAAAATCGGGACGGTTGGCACTCGTGAAAAATGACCAGGATTGCCAATTAAAAAGTACTTTTAGCTTTTATTACCAAAATACTTAATTTGGGACGCATATTACAGGAAGGATACATGGTCCCCCACACAAAATGCACGCCGGCCCCGCGCAACCAACTCCTCAGCCCCGTGATCCTCCACGAC